TATATATAATATATATATATATATATATATATATATATATATATATATATATATATATATATATATATATATATATATATATATATATATATATATATATATATACACGTAAGAGGTAAAGTAGATATTAAGGTGTAAATATCCGTAACCATACTCAGCGGTGTATACGGGTTAGATCTAATTATATTTAACCCGTTCAAATTTTAATGAATTGACTTCATCGTCTAATTCACAATTTCATAGTCAAAACCAACTCTTTTATTTATGGGTTGAATTGAGTTGGATTTGTATATTGTGTTTCAAATTAAAAATATTTTGTTAATTATAAAAATACTGTAACATATTCTAATATAATTTCATTTATTTCTAACACACAAATTAGATGAAACACGTTTTATAATGTCTGATAAATTTTATTCGAATGACATAATATTTGATAATAGTAGAAAATTCTAAAAAAACACATTATTTTTATAAAATACGTAAGTTAAAAATAATATAAAAAAAATAAGAAACAACATTTAATCTTAAAACCATGGAAATTCATTGATCTAAAAGTAAATGTTAATGTTAAATAATAAAATTATGGTTAAAAATGAGATATTAATTTTATATTTATATTTAAAATAAAATATAAAATAATTAATATCATATCAAAGAGTTAGCTGATTGAGAAATTCAAACCTAATATCGAAAACTAAAATTATACCGGTTGGTGAGGATTGAGTTGGAAATACCAATAAATGAATGGGTTTGAGTAATATAATGGTTAATTCGGTTTCAGTCAGCAAATTTGAAGATTAACCCACACCCATCAACACTTCTATCAATACCCGTATGGATGATTACCCAACTCATACCTATATTATTTTTTTTGTTTTTTGTTTTTATCCTAACCTAATCGTTGTAGGTATTTTTGCACATGTTTAATGGCATGTGTCAAATTGCCATCCTTAAAATAAAATATAAAAAAATCTGTGCTGGCAGCGTCCATCCCTAAATTAATAAAATAATTGATAGTGTAAGATTTTGTACTGACAGAAAATTGATGAATTATGGTTTTACATGTGTATAAATATGAATGAAAGTAATGAATGCGTTCAACTGTGAATTGCAGCGAGTGGTTTCAATTACAGACGACGACGACGACTTCAGGCGGCTGGCTGGCGAGGTCGTCGGAGAGGTTTCTCTTGAAGGTCAAGATTCTTTCAAATCAATACCACGAAGATTTTCCGGTAAAGTTTCTACTTCTATAATTATTATCATTCTCTTTTTATTTTGACCATTGCCTCTCTTTTCAGTTTTAGATCCTCGTGAATTGGATTCGTTTTTTTGGACTACTAGTTCATTGCGTTGGTTGTAATAATGATAATATTTTTTATATTCTTGATGTTGATATTTGATTTTGATTGTGTTGAATTTCACTGGTTCTGGTTAATTTTCTTATTCTTTAATGATTTTGCGTTGATAATGATAATGTTTTTTATTCCTGACGTTGATATTTTGATTTTGATTGTGTTGAATTTCGCTGGTTCTGATTATTTAAATGATTTTGCAATTTGCAATACCAGAATCTCTCACTCTGAGATTGAAAATTTTAAGAGAGATTAGGAACCAAATCCTCTCCTTTGAGCTTTTTCGCACCGGCCACCACTAGCTGCCAGGTACTACACACTCTGTTTTTCCTATTTGTTCATTGCTTAACCTAGTTTTTGTTTTCATTTCAATTTGGGGATTGGTGGTTTTGATTTTTTAATGTTACTAGTTGAGTTTGATGTGTGACTGATCTGAACCTAGCTTGGTTTGGTTTATGGTTTTAGCGAGTCAATCAAACACTTAACATTAAGCCACCTTTCAACCATAATCTTTTAAAATCACAAATCAGTTTAACTGCCGCACATGCATGTTCCTGCTGCGAACTTCCCGACGGCCTTCCGTTCTCCTTGCCGCCGTTGATCTATGTTGCCAGTTTGTTTTTCTCCGTCATCAACCCTTCACATACTGCCATGAGAGTTTATAATGCTTTTCGTCTTTCATGAACCTTGAAGAGAGAAGAGAATGTACCAGATTCAAAGGTTATTTGAGTTTGCTTAGAGAAGAGAATGTTTATATTCAGTTTTCTAAATATTCAAAAATTTGATTTGATTGCCATTTAATAGATTGTTATAGTATATCCTCAAAGGTGAACACTGAACATTAAGAATGTTAACCTTTTTTTATGGACCTACTAGTATTACGTGATTTTTAGACTTTTAGCAAATTTTCACTCTAAGTAACTCTTTGAAAAGCTTAAAAGGGGTCTAACAAGTTATCCACATGCTGTTAACTCTGGAGATTTTTTCATTAAGAATTGATTCTTATTATAAGAATATAAAAAGAACCGTCCTTGCATGTTTCACTGTAGAAACAACCAGACGTTGGAGATGCTATGTTTCTCTTCCTTGCCTATCATTTTGTACATGTATATATTTACTCTTTAGTTAGTGGGTTGGGATTTGCAACAGGGTTTTGTTTTTTTGTATGGGATGATCTTTTATATAAGGGATTTGGCTCCTTAAAGTAAGGAAATTAATAGTTGATATTTTAAAACACTTATGATTTGTTATATATTTAGAATTTGATATGAAAATTAGATTAGTAAATAAAGCTAGTAATGACAAAAGTATCTACAGTTTTAAAAAAAAAAACGCAGAGGGTTAAACTTGGTAGATATAATATTATTGGGTAAATATTTATGATGGAGGGAATACATACAACAATGTTTTTTGTTTTTGTTTTGTAGAAATAGTGTGTCCAAGGGTCAACATCCTGTAAAATAAAAGAGGTGAACTACTTGTCTCACTTGAAAGTGAAGTTAAATCCTAATGTGGGTCGACCCCATTTAAAATTTTGATTAATCTTGTGCGTGTGTTTGGTTCTGCAGTGAAAATAATTGATTTTGAATGAACTGATTCTGTAAAATTGATTGTAGCTAAAAGTGAGTTGAAGGTAAAGTGATTTATGTTTGGATAAATTTACTTATAAGTATGTTGAAAAGTAAATTCCAATGTAAAAATCACATTTAAACTCAAGTTACAAATTCTAGCTTCAAGAAGAATTAATTCTGGAGGCAGAATCAATTCTACTTTAGGAGAACCAAACACCTCAAAATCAGTTCAAAATCAATTCTACACCTCTAGAATTGTTTTTGGTTCTTCCTTGAAAAAGAATGGTTTATCAAAGAGACAAGGAAGAAGGGTTGGAGAAGAGATATTCTTAAGGTGGCTGCTGCTGAAACAGTTTACACCATATGGAGGGCCAGAAACGACTTAGTCTTCAATCAACAAGGGCTTGATAATAAATTGCAGGAAAAGATCATTTTTAATATAGTTATGAGGTGTATAGGGCATAGGAAAATAGCTAACCACATCAATAGAAATTTAATATGTATCGAGTAAATTTGGTTGACATAGGCTTGTATCCTAGTTTATCTTGTGTTTCATGGATCCTTGGGAGCGGACGTACTTCATTGTTTTTTGAAATAAAAAGTAATCTTTCAATCCAAAAAAAAATTGCTTTTGGTTCTTCCAAAAACTAAACTAAACATACGCTAAAAATCTGTTTCAGAAGAAAATATTGTGTAAGCTATGCCAAAATTTTTGCCACTTCAGATTTTTAACTTGAACTTTCCCATAAGGTTTCCATTTCTTACAAAATTAATCAAGCTCTTGAGATTTTTTTTTTTTTTAATAACCAATCTATTCCAATATTACACAGCTTACTTAATGTATTTAATTGAGCCAGCCTCTTTCATTTGTGCATGCTTTATCCTTTGTTTGGGGTTTGTGAATGCATTCAGTAGTTGGAGTGGACAAAATAAGATTTTTATTTTGATAATGATTTCTCACTTAAAGTTGTTCTGCTGTAGATCTGAAAAGATGGTAGAAAACATTTCCAGAACAAACCTTAGCTACCGTGGAGATACTGGTGGCATCGAGGAAGCCATAGATGACGCACCTTTACAAACTGACTCCAAATTCTATGATGACGATGGCCGTGTTAAACGAACAGGTATACATTAATGTACATTATATTATATACTTTGTTGTACATTACCTTTCTTTCCTTGATTGGATGATTAATGTGATATCGGATGTCTTAATATGAGTCAGGCACTGTTTGGACTACATGCTCCCACATAATAACAGGTGTGATAGGATCTGGAGTGCTCTCCTTAGCCTGGTCCGTAGCTCAGATGGGTTGGATTGCTGGTCCTGCAACCATGATCTTTTTCAGTATTATCACTCTGTATACTTCATCATTTCTCGCTGATTGTTATCGTAGTGGCGACACCGAATTTGGAAAGAGAAACTATACTTTCATGGATGCAGTTCACAATATTCTTGGTAACACATTATACATTATTATGCGAATAGCACCATATGACAATTTGTTTTTAGAACCTGGGCACATAATAATTTTATGTAAACACTAAATTACTATCCCAAGTTTCTATATTTGTAGCTGATTTTTTTTAAATGTCATGTGAGTTAACATTTTTGTGTATATTTGACCATCATATTCACACACACACACACTCGCAACCTAATGACTGTACATATAAATGATGCACACCATAATATGCATTATAATGTGTTTTGCAGGTGGGCCCAGTGTTAAGATTTGTGGGGTAGTTCAGTACTTGAATCTTTTCGGAAGTGCAATAGGATACAATATTGCGGCTGCCATGAGCATGATGTGAGTTAAGCCATGTTATGTCTTTGAAATCACGAAGTTTAGAAATTGTTTTGATGTGTAGATAATATAATTACAAATTTATAAAAATGAAATAAGATGAATTTCAAATTATTTTTCTCTAATGTTGTGTTCAGTAAGATTCAAATGGATTCTAATTTTGTTCACATTGATAAAGCCATTTTGACAATTTTTAGTGAAGTTAACAAAATACTTATTAACATAAAACCAATTTGAGTGTATCTTTAAAGTAATTTCCAATATGGAAACTTATTTACAGATCAATTTAAATCACACTTCAATATTCTAATCAATCAAGCTAGATTATATTAGTTCCGTTTATGGCAGTTGTCTTTTACTATGGCATGTATTAAATTGTACCACATAACTGATATGCACGGTAGTTGTATTTCATTGTCACTTCACAATGTTTCTTTCTACTGATATATGATTATATAGCTTGGTTGATGATCATTGAATGGTTCGTGTAGTTTGACTTTGGTGGGTTTTTATTGTTGACAGGGAAATCAGAAAGTCTTACTGTGTCCATTCCTCTCATGGCGAAGACCCGTGTCACGTTTCGGGCAACGCTTACATGATAGCTTTTGGTGTGGCACAACTTTTCTTTTCTCAAATTCCAGATTTTCACAACACGTGGTGGCTCTCAATAGTTGCAGCAGTCATGTCGTTCTTCTATTCTACAATTGCTCTCGCTCTTGGAATTTCCAAAGTTGCAGGTCATATACCTACTTCAATTTTTTGATACAAGTTTTCACTTATTTTTTAGCTGTTGTTTTATCGGTACCGCTTGAACTATAGGACTGCTGCAGAAAATCTCTTATGGTTTAAAACGCGTGACATGCCTAATGCGTTACTGAGCTATCAGATCACTTGCAAAAAAACCTATACAGTTTATAAGTTCAAGGGTTGAAATAGTTGAATTTTGTATCATGATAGATTTTTGCAATTTAGCTATAAATAAAGTTGGTTCTTACATTTTCGCTTATTTTGTTCAATATAGAAACGGGTACTGTCATGGGTAGCCTCACAGGAATAAGCATCGGGACAGTGACCCCGGCCCAAAAAGTATGGGGGGTTTTCCAAGCTCTTGGAAATATTGCCTTTGCCTATTCATATTCTTTCATTCTCCTGGAAATTCAGGTACACCTTTAAGAAACAATAACATCATGTGCCAAGTCATGTTAAGTTTTAATATCTATATCTAGAGAGAGATACTAGATCGAATTTTTACCATTACAAAGTTCATGAGACTTCAACATACCCCTTTATAATACTTACTAATGTTACACGCACAGATCCCCTCACATATAAAAAGGTTTTTATTTCTACCTTCCTTTCTTTTTAAGGAGTTTTTTTAATAAGGAAACAAAATTATTCTTATTCATTTTTCGTTTTAGAAGTTAAAAATAACATTGATTACTATTTTAACAATTATATCTTTATTTTCACCTAGTTACTGATAAGAATTTACCAAGATGTAACATTAAATAGTCAAGGAGCATAAGAGTATTAGGAAATTGAAAATAAATTTAAATTAAGAAGAGTATGATATACTTGTGCTATAATCTTAGTTGATTGACTCTTAAGGAACATAAGAGTATCTAACCATAGCTGATTACATCCCGTTTTAGATGGTTAGGTACATAAGAGTATCTAACTACAGCTGATTACATCTCGTTTTTCGCACAACTATTTCAGCACATACTTTGGTGTGAAGGGATGTGATATACAAATGTGTAAGAAGCTTTATTCAAACTAATTAATGTTTAATCTGAATACACAGGACACCATCAAATCTCCACCATCGGAAGGAAAAGCAATGAAGAAGGCTGCAAAGCTAAGTATTGGAGTAACCACCACATTTTATTTGCTCTGTGGCTGCACGGGCTATGCTGCTTTTGGAGATGCTGCACCAGGTAACCTGCTCGCTGGATTTGGTGTCTCGAAAGCATATATTCTTGTAGATATGGCTAATGCTGCTATTGTAGTTCACCTTTTCGGAGCATACCAAGTGTATGCCCAACCCCTCTTTGCCTTCGTTGAGAAAGAGGCAGGAAAAAAATGGCCCAAAATTGACAAAGGATTTGAAGTTAAAATTCCCGGTTTGCCAGTCTACAATCAAAACATATTTATGTTAGTTTGGCGGACAATTTTTGTCATCGTCGCCACATTGATTGCAATGTTGATTCCTTTTTTCAATGACGTTTTGGGAGTGATTGGAGCATTGGGATTTTGGCCTTTAACTGTTTACTTTCCTGTGGAGATGTATATTATTCAGAAGAAGATCCCAAAATGGAGTAGGAAATGGATTTGTCTGGAAATAATGAGTACTTTCTGCCTCTTCGTTTCTGTTGTGGCTGGTCTTGGTTCATTGATTGGTGTCTGGATTGACCTGAAGAAATACAAACCATTCAGCTTAGAGAATTGAACACCTCGTAAAATCTATTCTTTCTGTATGTAAATGGCTGTGGGAGGTTCTCAATGGGATGTTGATTTCTTAATTATTCCTAAGATGCAATTAAGAATAATAATCAGTGTTGAATATTATGATCCTTTTACTATGCATATTTTAATTGATTTTTGTACCCATACTAGTGGCAGTGATAATGGATGCGCTTTGATGTAAATATTCAATTTTATTTGTCATGTATGGTTAATATAGGGTTAATACTTGTATATAGAATATTTGACGATATTTTTTAGCCAGATAGAGCAGAATAGAATATATTGTAGTGCAATTCGAACACTTAAATAAGAAAAATTATATGACAATTAAAGTGCTACTAATTTCAAAATAATTCAAATTCAATGAGAATCTCTTAATACACTTTTATATGAATGAAGTAAACCTTTGAAAACTCTAAAATACTCTTCGGAAATACATCTCCGAACGCATTTTAAATCAATTTTCAAGGTATTTTTAACTTCGAAAACACCTTAAATCAATTTTTAAGGTGTTTTAGAAATACATCTCCGAAAACACTCATGTTTACATATTATTATTTGAACGTATTTAAATATTCAGTGATATTTTTGAATATGCATATATGAAAATATTGTTATATCAACTTGCTGCACGAACACCCCTACCATATTTCATTTTCTTCATTTTCTCCCATAACCAAAACCTACCACAAAACTTCAGTCATTCTTGATCAAGTTTTCGTCTCTAAACCAAGTTTCAAGTGTTTTATCATATTTAAGAGAATATAGAAAGCTGCAATTTAAGGTAAATTTTCTTCATTTCATCTCTCATTTTCTTGCATTGATGTTGATTTTGAGATGAAAAAAATAGTGTCACTTCAGATATGTATATTCGAAACTTACATATAATATTTCAGATGTGCATATCCGAAACTGTCCCTGATACGAAACAATTTTAACAATTTTTTTGGTTTTGCTCGTTTTAGACCGACATGTTTTCGAAAGCTATTGTAAAGGTTTCAAACGAGGTGAATGACGATGCTAAGTTGGATGAGGTGAATGACGACATTAAAAAGATTGATGTCGAGATAGATGTTCGACAATAATTTACAAATGATAATATTTTCAGTGCTCGTCAACATATGTTTGAATTGGTCTGAATGAAAGCTAGCAAATTCGAGTCTGTCGTTGTGATTGGAAGGTCCGACAGGCACTAGTAGAAGCCAAACATTTACAACGATGACATGCGAGAGAAGTGGAAAATAAGTTTCAAAAATTTGAAAGTTAAAACATGAGGACACCAGATCGAGAAAATGTGAGTGTCTGTTTAAATTGCATGGATACTGTAGAGTGGATGATATTGTTATACCCCTATTTTTCCTCCTAAGACCTTTCATCATTCCACACCCTCACCACGCATTGAGATCATACATTTGGGTTGATTATCACTTCTACTTTCTCTTCTCTTGAAGTTTGTCCTTAAGTGATCACCAAGCACTTTGAGTTGTATATCTTGTATACGTGTATGCCATATTTACTAATCTTTAAAATCCAAAAAAAGATATTTATTATTTCTCTTCATGTTGTGTATATTGTAGGTGTTGAGCCAAGTGCATCCACCTCATCTCCTAAGTTAGGGTTTTAAGGATCGACCATCATATAACTGATCATTCGTAGAGCTACAAGGGCTTGAATTTCAAAGCAATCATTATGTTAATTCTCTATTTTTGTAATTGACATTATGTTTGGTAAAACTAACTTAGCATAAACATGTTTAAGAAAATATTCTAGCAACTAGAGAAATATGTTAAATAAAATGTCCTATACAGAATCATTTGACATCGCTCTAATGTACAACTGGACTGTTGGATTCTTTTAGATTTTATAGATGCAGAATATTCTGGGAATATTATGATATGAATACCAGAATTTTACATTGCATCATCAAGTATAATAACTTGAGTATTTGTCAACTTTATTTGATAAGGAATATTTCAAGAGATTGTAGCTTGATTCATCAAGAAACTTCATAGGTTCATGAGTTTATTTTCATTCTTTCTTGAACAAGTTTCATCAAGCTATGAGCGTAATCATCAAATATGCTTCAAGACAATGTCATTTTAAGGTCATATGTGATTCATCATGCCTTAATTTGCAAGAAAAATCCAAAAGATTTCAAAGTTGATTCAAAGTATTTGACCTAATTTGGCAAGTTATTGATTCTATATTAAAAAATGCATAACTCTCTCTCAATTTTCATCATCTTGAAGTGATTCCTTTTGATATCGGTTCTTCTTATCATCCCCGACAACTTCTCTTCACACGACAAGAACCAATTATGCTTGGAGAATCATTAAAAGTTGAAGAACATTATAGGTAATTTGACCTAATTTCAAGGAAATTTTGTCAACTTCTAAGGACCATAACTCGTTCAATTTTCATCATTTGAATCCCTCTAGTTTTATGCAATAATTTTAAGGACGTATACTACAAGTCTCATTCAAAGGTCAAAGGCAAAAGATGCATGGAAGGTCCTTGAATTGAGGAAAACATTATAGGTCATTTTGGTCCTTACTCAGTGAAATTTTAACTAAGTCAAAAATGTGCTTACTTTTCCTAACTTTGAAGTACCACAACTTTCATATCAAGCATCCAAATTGAACCATTCTTTTCACAATGTGGAGTTTGCGATCTTGTCTTTCAAATGCAAAAGGAATCAAGTCATAAAGCTTCATACACTACTTGCCCCATGTGTTTGAAGTTGGCACCTTGGATTTGTTTTTTTCACTTGCAGTCAGAAGTGCATTTGCTTAATGTGCACTCTAATCACCAATTTGGTGCATGAATTCCATTTAAGTATGTTTAACAAAGTTACTTGGACCAATTTAAGCATCAAAACACATGATTTACTTGAGTTTTGATGAGCTATAGGACACACTTTTAGGATGGCATCAAGTTGGCATGATTTTTTTCAATACCTCATCATCTCACACTCTTAAGGACTTCATTCATTTCCCTATATATAGGATGCTATTTCTATCATTTCTCAAGCTTTAGAGATACAAAATCACTCTGCCACATTTCCTCCAAAGCTCACCATTCTGAAACTTTAAATTCACTCTTTCTCTGCTTCTAAATCCAAATTCTTTACCCATTCTCCTTTTGTGAACTTCGGTGAAGCTTCTCAGACCAAGAGCAAGAAGAATCACACCTTAATTCGCTTCAACCAAGTCAAGGTTCAGAGCTTCGAAATTAAACTTCAACAGGTAGATTTCCTCAATTTTTTCTCAAATTTCTCTTCACCACTTTGTACTCCTCTCTTCTCTGAAGCTTATGCTTCTTCTACTTTTCAAAATGGTGGTGAATTGAGCATTTCATTATGGTTTAAAGTTTTGTGATCTTCTGATTTTCTTCAAATAACTCACTCATCTTTGAGTTTTATTTTAAGTGAATTATATGATGATGATGGCGACGAGAAGACGAGCACAATGGTCTAGGTCTGAGCCATTTTCATGACCATCAATTTTCCTGTGATTTACAGTGGCCAGAGGTTGAAGACGGTGATGTGTCGTCTTCAACCAATGACGTTGCACCACTTGTTTTATTTCTAATGGTCGATTCAAATTGAATTCAATGTTTTATTCCACTAATTTCCATTGTGCGCTTGCAATGATAGCCATCAGATCTGATTACTTTGTTGACTTGGCCTGGATCCAACGCACCATATTTTTTCTCACTTATTTTCTTTTTTCTATTTTGATTTTAAAATTTTTTTACCTTTAAAAATTCATACACCTTTTATCTTTTATCTAAAAAAAATACCAAAATAATTTCTAAAATTTTGTTTGTTTTTTCTCTTTTTAAATCATATTTTTTCCACAAATTTATTTAATGTTTTGATATTTTTTTATTAATTTTCTCTTTGTTTAGTTGTATTTATTTGTTTAAAATTATTTTTGACTCTTTTAAAATTCCATAAAAAATAAGATATGATCCAACGATGGTTTTACATCTATGGTGATTTTATTGGAATTTTATTTCTGATTTTTCTATTTTAAAACTATTTTAGATATTTTAACTTAATTTTTGGTATTTTAAAATTAGTTTCTGATTTCTAAAAAATACAAAAAAATTTGTGAATATACTTTGAAGTATTTCTGATTTTTCTATGCCTCTGGTTGAAATTTATTTGAAGGTTTGAATGTAGTTTGACATTTTGGTTTTTATTTTCATTTTAAAACAATTAAAAAATCATTTTCTAATTATATTTTTGCTTTTAATTGCAATTTTATTTTTGTACATATTCTGTGGATCATATGGATTTTAGTCATAAGCTTCATTAACATCATTGGATCTTGGGTATTGAGTTTAACTCCATCAAAATTGATGAATGATTTTAATGATAACTTGATTAATCCTTTGGTTCAAATGTGTGATTTAATTTCTTGTCTATCTCAACTCCATCCCATTTATTTTGTTTTATTTTTGATCAATTTGGATAAGGCATTTAAACTTTAAGTTCATCTAAGCTTATGGATAGTTGAAAAATTAGCTTCCATGAGCTAGGTCTTGATCACATTTTATTTTTACTTGTGCTAATGTTTTAGGAGTATGTTTTCTACCATATATCTAACATATATTGTACATGAATTGTTATTGTCCAGCCTCATATAGTATTGACTTCTACATAAGTCTGCATGCGATTGCTTAACATAACGCTAAATTTGTCCCGAATCGGAAAATAATCATTCGTGGCTCAAACTTTATGTTTGAAAGCTTAAGTATGGTTGATTGATTATCTTTGGATCCATACGTATGAAGCTTATTGTTAGGAGGCTTTGATTCTATCAATCCTCTAATGAGTTTTCATTATTCTTTGGTCCAAAATCATCATTCAATCACCATTGATCATACTTTATGACTATTAATAATTAAACTACTAACCATTAACAATTAACTTTATTTTATGCCTTTAATTTTATGATTTTACTTTATTATCCCTTA